TGGCTGGTCCTATGACGCAGCCCTGCCTCCCCTAACCACAGGATTAGCGACGGAGTGACGGGTCTCCTGGGGGATGGATAGGATACGGCCCCAGGAAGATGGCCATCTTTCCACCTAATGAGGAAGTTTTCGTAGCATATCAAATCGCTGTAGCATCTGCAATCAATGCAGATAGTTACCTGAGGACCACCAGTAAAGATCGGCACGGACAGATTTTCGAAATGTCCATTTTTAAGAGTAAACATTCAGGTATGCGATGAAGTGCCTGGATAAGAAGAGGATAAAGATGAAGCAGGGCGAGACGTTGGCCCTCAACGAACGGATCATGCTCAGCCTCGTCTCCACAGGGGTGAGTTGACGCTATTTTGGCTTCTTTTTATTTCAATACGAGAAGGATACGGAAAATAACGCAGCAAGCTTGGAAAGAATTCACAGATCTAGTCTAACAAAGTGCGGGGTAGGGGGGGGCGGGGGAGCGGGGTGAGAGTACCAAAGGTTTTTAAACCTCGAAAAACATCTTCTATTAACAAAAGTAATGCTGATCACCCAGTTCTTTTTTACACAGTGTTCTCTTTCGCCCATCCTGGCGATTCCCCTTTCCGAAATTGTGATTACTGTAGTCGACAGGAACTATTGCATCGAAATCCCCCCTCCTTATTTATTGGGGTAGACTCATATGCTCGTTGACCGAGTGCAAATAACTGAAGTCGAATCTAAATAAAAACGAACTCGTTTTGTCTTTCTAATTTCCCGTCAACAATGTCCCACGAGAGGCAAAGGGCAGGCTATATCCGAAAACATCAAATGAACTATCTAGAAAGCAGCCATAGAGGGGTTGAGCGTCGAGCGAATGTGAAATTTCTGAGCCATAAAAGGCAATCCAGGGCCGAATGCTGCTATCCTTCCGGGGGGGGGGCGGGGGAGCGGGGTGAGACCAAAACGGTTTGCGTTGTTCTCCTCCTCAGGTCAGGTCACCTAAAATTGAGACATTACTCATTTGCTCGAAGCAAGCTCAGACTGAACCTAGGCCCAGTCATAGGCTTAGGCATAAGCCTAGGCCAGCCTAAACCCAAGTTTAACCCTAGGTCTCAGTGATCGCGCAGCTCTGGCTCTAGTGACCTAACCCCAGGAGGAGAATTGAACGTCTCCCGACGGAACCTATCTAAATTTTTCTGTTTTTGTGATTAAACTCCCTTATCTTCATCACATTGTGGCTGTCACGGACACAAATACTTCACAAATAGGGCCTTCTGGCGGCGCTAATCTGGTGAAAGACTAAGAAAAGCTAAAGGGACGTGCTCCTAGCCCTTTTCCTGGGCGGAGGATGACATAGGGCTCCAGGGAGCTACGTACATACCTATCTTTCTGCATCCTGGATCAGCCGTTCTTTGTTCCAATTCCATTAAATTTACGACACCCTTTCTTTGGGAGGCTCTCGAAATGGCCCTTCACGACCATCGTCAGCCTTGAGTCTCCCAATACGACCATCGTCAGCCTTGAGTCTCCCAATACGACCCTCCGACTCTCCCAATACGATCCTCCTTCCTTGTCCCCAACCACCACCCTCACCATCAGGGCTGTTTCTATAGTATTAGATCTTGACACCAGTCGACACAGCTCAGCCCCTCCCTCATTCCCCTCAAAAGCCAAAAGCCTTCGAAGAGGGGGAGGAGGGGGTAGAGGGATAATATGTATATAAAAATAAATCGAATGAAGCGATAGATCCCCTGAATTTCGACCACTTTCTGCTTACCTTTCAGAATTCCCACCACAATTATCGAAAACCGCCAAAGCGACCCCTCTCTACCGCCATCACAATCTACCCAATGCGCCCTCCCCCTTTCTCCGAAATTTTGACCTACACCAACCCCAAATGCGCCCCCTCCAAAAAACTCAAATACGACCCCTCCCCTCGTTGAGAATTGCGCAACGCACGATTGACCCTGTATGGAAGATATCCTCTGTTCCATCCCTCTTCTGTGCAATAATACCTGTTCGAGTTGAAATGAGATCCTATTACTGCAGTTGACAGTGTCTGGTGGGCACGCATTTATGACCCATAAAAAATATTTTGACCTATGAAAGTGCTTTTTCAGCAAGATTGCCCGTTTATCGTGTGTATGACGTACGCCTTTCAAACGCCCGACAAGCTCTGCTTTATTCTCGATCTGATGAACGGCGGCGATCTGCACTACCACCTTTCCCAACATGGCGTTTTCAGTGAACCAGAAATGCTATTCTACGCCTCCGAGGTTGGTTTTCGTTGGTTTAAAATTTTATAGTTCGTTTGGTCCAGGCTGCTATTTTAGGTTATCCTTGGATTGGAGCACATGCATAATCGCTTTGTTGTCTACCGAGACCTAAAACCGGCCAATATTCTGCTCGACGAGAACGGACATGTGAGTGTTGGGGACTTTCGCTCCACCGGATGTTTTCCGATCGAAATCCCTCGGGAAAACGCCGCCTGCTGCGTATTCAGTGGTTTACTGAGCGCTACTTATGCAATGCCCTCGACGGTCTGGCGCAGCATTGTTGAGGACTGAGAACTGGCAAGGGGTTGTAGTTCCTAAACAGTTTTCAAGGGGCAGGGTTGAGGTGGGGTTACATGGAGGAACAAGCACTCCTTTCATCGTGCGTTAAGATTTTTAATGCAGTTAGATGTAATCTTCGTCATACGTTTGAAATAAGGGCGGCGATTTTCCTACAACACTGTCGAAAAACAAAAACGCAAAAGTACTACCAGAAACTTCTGGCGCTCAGCTTTCAGTGTGATGAAATTGCACCACAGGCAGGTGGATTGAATCATATTTGGTTTTCAAATTGTTTCGACAAAATGGTCCTGCCGCGTCAAATAAATTCCCTAGAGCGGAAGAGCGACTCACCACCGATCTACTTAACACTTATGTTCTCCCTCCCTCTCTAAACGCTTAACCCAGCACCATACATCTTTAATATCATACATAAATACGCACTTTCAAAGCGTTACTTTCTGGACTGCATCGGACTTTGGTCAGGCATGGTGCTCGCCCTTTTCACTTCGAAATTCACAGCTCAACGGTGTATTCGCGCACGCACAAGCCAGATAATTCGGCGAAAATATGGATAAAGCTGGCTGGCCAAAAGCATGAGAAGCAGGTTTTCCTGGAATTTCTGGCCCGCTTCCAGTATTCCGACGGTCGACATCTGGCGCGCCGTGCATATGATGCATGTCATGTTTTCAATTATGCACTAATTTTGTATAGTTTTGTTTTTTCGAATAACTGATTTCGTAGGATCAAAGTACAGGCCACAAGGGTAGGTAAAGGGATAAATAAAAAAATAAAGCTATCGTTGTTGATCAATAAGATTGCCCTTTTCTGGAGTCGCCTACTCATCTTTTACCCGCCGACCGTCACATTGATTTACTCGATGGTACCGGTCGCGTCAGCATTCCCGTGTCCGCCCACTACTCCCCCCGCACTTCCCCATTGCATGTCATAAATCTCTCCCATGCAAGCCAATCCGGGTGAGCTAATTGGAGAAAAATACTTTTCCTTGGAATTCTAGCCAGGACACCTCCATTACGTAAATATCTCCTGTTATTTTTTGTTCAACTCGAAGTCATTCAAAAGTAATTTGTTCGCCTTGGCATTGGTTTTCATATGCGACCTCATTTCTGAACTCACCGAGCAATTGTTCGCATTCCTCACTAATATTTCGCATTTTCAGGTACCGAGTCCTGATCTGGGCTTATGGCACGCTTGTGAACTTTTTTCAAAAGAAACCCATGCCGAGTTGTGTGATTTCTCCCTTGATTCTTTCCACCAAATAACATAAACTGAAGGCTATCTGTTGCATCGATCTCATGGCTATATGGCCCCGGACGGTGTTGCAGGTGTGGCCTACGACTCTTCCGCTGACTGGTTCTCTCTAGGATGTATGCTTTACAAACTGCTGAAGGTGAGTATTCCGGTTATGTGACAATCAGGAACGATCTTAGAATTACGTTTCAGGGTCATTCACCGTTTCGGCAGCACAAGAGTAAAGGATAAAAACGAAATCGACAAAATGACGTTGACGCAGGACATCGAGCTGCCAAACGAAGGCCTTTCGCCAGACTGCCGCGACTTGTTGGAAGGGCTTCTGAAGAGAGATGTGCCCGATAGACTCGGCTGCAAGGGGCGAGGGTGAGTCTTGAGACGGTCGTACTACCCATCTAAGGATTTCCTCATTTCATTTCATTTGCTTTTGAATGCTTATATTTTGCCTTGCAGACCTTCGGAAGTGAAGGAACACCCGTTTTTCCGCGATGTCGACTGGCAAACCGTTTATCTGCGTCGAATGACGCCCCCGTTGATTCCACCTCGAGGCGAAGTGAATGCAGCTGACGCTTTCGACATTGGCAACTTTGACGATGACGAAGTTAAAGGCGTGAAGGTATGAACCATTTTTCCTTGTTGCATATTTTGGTAATCTTACGCGACGGCTGCTCAAGGATTAGCACACCTGGGAAGCGCGTCGTCTTGGACGCGGCTCTCCTTGCATAAAGGCAACGAACGCACTACATCATGCGCAACAATAATGCTGAATTTCGAGCGTTCTTTCCGATTTTTCGAAGCTATGGTAGCTCGTTTTTTTCCCAATCTGAATTAACACTCTGTGTTTAGCCTGCTAGAGCGATCTCTTTGACTAGTGCAAGAAAGCTGTTTATAAGAGTCACAGATGCACCGTTCTCACGATTCGGAAGTGCGCGGCAATAGGGCCCTTGTCACTTGCAAGACTTCCTCTGTATTTCGTCTGCAAGACGCGAAATGTATGCGCCCTCTCCCAAATGAAAAGTTAATGTTTGTCGGAATGGTATTGGCTCTCGGGATAAGCACCGTGCAAAAGAGCTGGGCTTGTTCACTAGCTTCTAGAGAGCGGAATAAAAAGGCGATGAGGAGGATCTCATTCCGCGGATTTGGAGCGGTTGGGGGTTTAAGGAGAATACATTAGCTAAGGCCCCATCAGTGTGAT